GGGGATCGAACCACAGACCCTGTGCTTTGCCAAGCTTGTTCCAAGTAGGTGCTTTAGACCACTGAGCCATCTCGCCAGCCCAACAAAAATTAAATAAGAGATCTATTCAAAGTGCAAGAAAGACTGATTAATTATAATAGAGAATAAAAAGTCACCAGACATTTGCCAAAAAAAAAAAAAAGTAAAGTAATCCTATCCTTCTCACTAAGTCTTTTGTTTTGGAGAAGATATTTCTCACAAAAATGTCATTTGCGTTAATATATAATGGGTTTACCCTTGTTATGTTAGCTAAATAATTTTTTTGTTTCTCTAGTTGTTTTTTTTTTTTTTTTTTTTTTTTTTTTTTTTTTTTTTTGAGACAGGTTCTTGCTATGTAATTCAAGTCAGCTTTGTAGCTCAGACTGGCCTTAAACTCACAGCAATCCTCCTGTCTCAGCCTCCTGAGTATTGGGATTATATGCATGTACCACCACGCCCAGCTGGACATCTTTTTTTTTTTTTTAATGTATTTCGTCGAGGGTGTACAGGTCTACAGGGTCTACAGGGTCTCACTATGTAGATCAGACTCGTAGCAGTTCTCCTATTGTTAGCCTCCCAGTGCTGAGATTACAGGGGCACACCACCATGCCCAGTTTCAAACACTGTCTCAGGGTTCCCTGGGGGCAGGGCCGCTACAGCAGATCGAACCCCAGCCACTGAGCTCTGTCTGAGCTCTTTGGGCCGGCCCTTGGAAATCTTTTTCAAACATCTACAGTTTAACAATTCAAAACAAAGAATTCAGCTTTAGACACTCAAAACTATGAAAAACACTCTACAAAGATATATGAAAGACAAATGAGCACATCAAAGAAAGCTCAACATCACTGGCCCCCACGGAAAGCTGAGTTAAAATTACAATGAGGTACCATTATGCACTTATCAAACTATCTAAAAGACTCACAGCACCAAATGTTGGTGAAAAAATGGAGCTAGTGGCATTTTTTTATTTTGATGGTGGCAATGTAAAATGTAGCAATCACTTCAAAAAAATGATGTTACAACAAATACTGTGGGGGCCGGGGAAATGGCTCAGTAGAAAAAGCACTTGCTTAGCAAGTGCAAGGAGCTGAGTTTGATCCCTGGTTACACACACACACACACACACACACACACACACACACACACACAAAACCCAAAACAAAACAAAACAAAAAAACCTGTGAAATTCATATTAATTTAAATGAAATTCTATAGCATTTGTAATTTTTCTGTTTTAAACTATTTTGTACTCTCTTTAAAAAAATAAAAAATTCAGGGCTGGTGAGATGGCTTAGGGGTCTAAAACACCTACTTAGAACAAGCTTAGCAAAGCACAGGGACCACGGTTCAATCCCCCAGCACCACAAGCCAGCCAGCCCCACCCCCTGGTGGGCTGAGCTGGACACACACACACACACACACACACACACACATAAATAAATAAATAAATAAAATAAAAAAATAAAAAGTTACAAGACAGTAAAAGTGAAAAATTGTGGTCAAAAGAGGAAATAATCAGTACAAGTAGACACATAAAAGCCAGATGTTAGAATTAGGAGACAGGGACATTAAAATAACTATGACAGGGCTAGGTGTGGTAATACACCTGGAATCTCAGCACTCTGGAAGGAGGCAGAAGTTTGAGACCAACCCAGGCAATTTAAGACTTAGCAAGATTGTATCTCAAAATAAATTTAAAAAAAAAAAAAGGTCTGAGAATATACCCCAGGGCAAAGGCCCTGAGTTCACTCCTTATTACTGCAAAACAAAACAATAAAAGAGCTAGAAATGTAGCTCAACGGTAGAGTGTTTGCCTGCTTGCCTAGCATAGATGAGACTCTGGGTTTGATTCCCTAGCAACATTTTATTTAATTAGGTTTTCTGAGACCCAGTTTGCTATGCACTGTAACTCACGCTAGCTCTGAGATCACTGTGCAGCTCAAGCTGGCCTTGGACTCATGGCCATCCTTCTGCTTCAGCCTCTTGAGCTTGGACTACAGTGTATGTCACTGCACGGGCTCCGAGCACCACAACAAACAAACAAACAAACAAAAGAGATGATAGGAATTCTAAAGGATATTGTGGAGAAATCACACAGGAGTTAAAGGAGGGATCATTTTAGCAAACACTTAAAACTGAAAATAGGGCTGAGAAGATAGCTCGGCGGTCTAAGCACCTGCCTGCCAAGCACAAGGACCCAGGTTTGATCCCTGGACCTGCATGCCTTGCCAGTCTGGAAGCTGGCTGTGGTGGTGCACACCTGGAACCCCAGAGCTGGGGAGGCTGAAAGAAGAAGATCACGTGAGTCTGAGCTGCATCACAAGACCCTCTACCAAATAAACAATTAAATAAAAATAATAATAAACATATATTTTAAAAACCTGAAAATAACAAAAGTTATTTTTTTAAACATTTATTTATTGTGTGTGTGTGTGTGTGTGTGTGTG